CGAATGCTATACATACTCGATCTAATTGAGTTTCGATCATATTGGATATAGTGGATTCTGTAATAGATGGGCGATCAAAGGGATGAGAGAATGCCAACAAATTGACTAAAACATCTTCATATACTTGGGGTACTTTTAGTTATCATATGACCGTTCATATAATTATGATGATTAATGATTGATAATGATATCAGAAGCCATAACAATAAAGTTTTTAACTGATTTCCCCGGCAGTTTCTGCCAAGACCAAGTACAATTCCTATTGCATAACTCTCATACTTATATGGGATGGATGCCGGACAGGCCCGAGGGGTCGGTGTCCATTAGAATATCAAAGCCAGCATGCCTCATGATCTGCAATCAACCACGACCTTTTTTTTGTTAAATGAGGTGAAAATGCGGTTACGCAGGCCCGCGCCATGGATGTTGACGCGGGGTCTGTGGGGCTGGGTCCAAACTCAAATTCGTCTGCTATTCAAATGGTGTAGCCAGACCCCACCCACTAAAAACACCTCAGCCGTTCACATGCCCTTAAGATGGAACCTCGGCGTTTGCCAGGAATTGTACCCAAGGGACCCGGGCTTATATCCGACATAGAGAGCTCATTCACGACCTGCGGTTCCGGGCCACTCGAGATCGACCCCAGACCTCTCCCTCAATCGCTCATCAGCCTCCTTCTGCAGCATTACATGCTCACAGAAGGGGACAATTGCACTCCAGGCCTCCTCACTTCCTAGCATTGCTATCAACCATGACCCTGTAGTAACAGTGCTTGTAATACATTATTTAACATTCATTTCACTTTAAAATACGTACATATTGATGCAAGCTTTTATACACATGCACACAAAATATATTAGATTAAATAACATAAAAACGTATTTTTCTAACGTTTACACAATTATTATGCGTTAGAATTTGCATGAATTTAACGAATGTTTGCTATTATAAGGTAACGCTTATAAATATAGAAATGAATTCGCAACTATTAGCTATTAGGCATGAAGTATGGGCGTCTGTCTGCGACGCGTGTCACCGTCATGTGACAAATCACTTTGAACTCAAAACCTGAACATTTGTATTGCAACGTTTTTGTTAGCACTATTATATGTTCTCGGTTTTGAGGATTGCGTTTTGTGTGAAATCAGAATAATAAGTATTTAGCCTTAAAAGTACACGCTGTTAAAATTTTAGGATATAAAAAGCAAATTTACGACTTATCTATCTATCAGGTCTACTATTTTTAAAGTATTTATTATTTATTATGTAATTATGCTTAGAATTAATTGTTCATGCCTACCCAAAAGTATACTTCTAAAATAAAAAAGGAATTATATTAAATCATAACACATAGATAAAAACAAGACTAAACAGAATCAAGTTTAAAATTGTAAGGTTTAGATGTTGAAATATTTTTATAAAGTAATATAATTATATTATTATTATATATATTAATATAATATAATGTATATACATTAATACACACATAAATGTTGCCATTCAAAGAAATAAACAAAAAGCTTCGGTTGTGTTTTAGAATTATTTGATATGATAAAATTTTAACAATTTTTTTCATAACTCCAACTGGTGTAATACTAGAGGTTATTTCGGACCATGCCGGCGCTCGTAAATAATCCATTCGTTGGAGAATCGAACGCATGCATTTGTTTCTATAAATAGTTATTGAGAATTTTACAAAATAGTTGTTCTTGTTGCTGTGCGAAGGTCGATTATTGTGTAGCAGTGATTTAGGGTTAACGCTTTAAGATATTTTGGGCTGAAAGGATTGGTATAGCTATTTGCTTTTTATACGTTTGTGTTTCTTGGTTAAAAGCACTAGTGAAGTGTGTATACATTATAGGATTACAAATCGATTTTTTCACTTCTTGAGATAATTTATGAAAGCTCTTATATAAAGGCATGTAGCATTAAAAAAACATGTGTGTGTACTTATGTACACGCGTTAGAAGTTGTACTTCTTTGGCGTGACAAGATAAAAATCTTTTCAGAATTTTTGTCTTTCGCCTTATTCTACGTTTGTAGAAAAAGCGACACTAACAATAGAAAAAAATACTCTCATAATTTTTCCCTAGCTCGCCAATAGAAGCATAACTTCAAAAACCTAAAATAATGACTATAATTAAATATAATTTATTATTATTCAGGGTGTCGGTTTTTTGCTACGGTGTGCGCGCGCATCGTAAAAATTTACTCTCATAATTTATCCCTAACGCGCCAAAAGAACTTCAATTTTTTTTAAACTGATATCTGGAATGGTGGTCTTTTGTTAATACAACATGTATTACATGATCAACTGTGACCTCCCGTGACCGTGTAGAATCTTATATTATTACTATTTATCAGTTAAGATAGATAAGTTTTTCTTAAATTGTTATGTATGTTATACTAGATCATGCGTTAGTAAAATTAACCTTATGTAATCGTTTATTTTGAGGTTACTGTCTATGAGGTTGTTATCTATTTCTAACTTAATGTATAAAATAAATCATCCAATTAAGCTTAATGCATCTTGACAGATGCCTACAAAAACAAAATAAAACAACAAACAGTTAACTCGAACGACCAAAGCAAACAAAAATAACATAAAAGATGCTGGATCTGTTTGTTTTTCCCCAATACACTAGAGGAAGCACACAAATGTCAGAAATGTGATTGCCATGTTTACACCATGCGCGGGGATTCCCAATTTTTTATCACTGGAAACACCTACCATCATTTATCTTCCACCTTTAGCTGTCAACATGTCTTGTTACCTGTGAACGAGCGTTTTATTGATTGTCTGAAAATCGTTTTTTTTGTTAAAACATTGGCAGAATCAAAATATTGCTTGAATTAGAAAAAGCTAAAGTTTTAATTTGATATTAAAGTGTACATTACATCGATATTTTTATTACGCAATTATTTTTAAATATATTATCTAAAAACATATTTAATTAGCGTCAAACAGCGAGAATCAACTCCGGCAGTGTTAGGCCAGTTATTGAGAAGCTTTGAACATTAATTAAATAAGCAATGAACTGTATGATAATTTTTTAATAACGCCTTAAACAATGCGAAGGCCTAGAGCAAGTAATACCGAGGTTGTCGTAGCATCGGTATGTCCCCATTCTTATGGTAATGTCTTATGAATATTATTGCTTGTCGTCATAAAGTGGGGTGGTGTTACGTGAGTATTATTATTAATGGGTATCGTGGGAAGAGGTAGTATGGGTACATATTTCAGGTACGCATCAAATTAAATTACTCTGCTATGTCCATTTTTTGTAGAAAAATATTAATAAAGATTAACAAGGTAATATATTTTAGTAGAATTTATGTTCGTAATATTCTTCTGAAAGATCGATATTACACATTTTTTTACTTTATCGAATTTTCTTACGTAGCATACGTAAGGTTGAGAAAACTGTATTTTATAACATAAATTCACTACACTGTAGCTAAAAATAATGTACAATTTTTTTTTACAAAAGTTACAACTTTAAAAAATACTTCTAAACGGCTATAAATTGTTTTCGTGTATGTATATTGCATATTCTAAACTTTTATAATTTATTTGATTTTTCTATTCACCCTTTAATAATTGTGTAAGATAAATTAATGTATTTTTGCAATTGAGCTTTGGTCTAAAAACCAACCAAATAAATAATGCATTTCTTATGATTTTCTTTTGAATTTTTGAGATTTTAATACATATTGTTTTCAGTAATATAGCACGAATTAAATCTGTGTTAGACAGCTGGCTTGTCTTATTATTTCAATATTATACGATCCATCATAATCCCTCATACGAGTAGTAGTGTCCAGTTTGTCGACGTTATTTAATAAAAACGTCATGTCGGCAAATAACAGAATAGGTATTGATTAAGGCTGCAAGCTATAGATATACGCGTGGGATAAGTGATAAATTGAAGCGAATTAAAAATAGAGTGTAGATATTAAAGTTGTCACATAAAAATTTTAATTTTCTTTATATGAGCGCGAATTTAATACAAAAATTTCATTATTTGACGTTTGAGTGTTAAAAGCGGTTTAGTATAGTCTGCTATAGATTTTTTCTAACTACCACAAATATATATACAGTCAAAACCGTTTACGACGACATCGTTTACAACAACAGGCCGGTTATATTGACCAACATCAAAAGGTTCCGGCTGAATTCTATTGTATTAGGTTCTTAATAACAATGTTATCGGCTGTTACGACTATCCGTTTTTACTACCAAATATGAGTAGTCCCTTCGATGTCGTTATAACAGATTTTGACTGTATATATATTTAGCATTATAGCTTATACATGTATATTAAGTTCAATTTAAATCATAACAAAACGTAAAGACTGCGCAAAGACTATCTTACTCGTATTTTGATGTACTAAAATCCTTTAATTTCATATTATTTTCACTTTCTTAGGCGGTTTTTAAATAATAAGTACCAAAAATTTGTAATGAAATATTTTTTTTATTACAATTATAAAATATTTTTGTTAAATCTCTATAAGCGTATAACTTGTAGACGACGCGGTGAGCGGGTGTGGCTTGCTATCTACAGCGTATATCGCCTGAGGCGTCGGCCTTTGTAACTGATTGATACATCCACCGCTACCCTCGCCTTGTTAACTTTTATTTTATTAAAAAAGATCCTCAGTTTTTCGATTTTCTACCAAACCTTATAAAGCTTATTTACTTTGTGAATGGCTTTGAAGCTTGAAATATTTATTTTCAATTATCAATTATCAAATTTCTTAATGTTTAATGTATCATTCATGTATGAAAACCAGCTTTGTTCATCATTCATCTATTTGAATGGTCTATAATTCAAACAGAAAACCTAAGTAATTATATTCTGTACAATCATTGCGTCATCATTCAAATTTGCAATTACATTTGAAAGGGTCAATTCAATGCTTACAAATAAAACAGTTCTGAAAACACAATCGTATCTCGTCCTACACCGTTTCTATCGACGCTATTTAGGCAATTATCACCCAACCACCCAGGTAATAAGACCTTGAATCGCCTGCACAGATTTGCCAAATATATTAATACCATTCGCATTCAAAATCAGAAGCGGAATAAAAAGATTGGACGGCATTATGTAGGACAACAATGGAGCAGGTTGGAAAGTGCCCAGGATGCCATCTGCAACATTATTAAAGGTAACTGCGAATAGCTTTCCGGATAAAATTTTATTCGGTATCATCGTCAAAGGGGATCTGGAGTCTGGACACTGGACGGCATATTTGGAAATTGAATTGCTCTAATGCATGAATGTGGTAAGTTAAAATATGAACGGTTTCCATGAACCATTACATACTAATGTATTTTTTTTTTTTTTTTTTTTTTTATAGACGGGCAAACCTCACCTTTTATACCCCCCATGACACTCTCAATCCAGAGGGCTCGCATTTGCCGCCTTTTAAAAATTGTACCTCTTTTCTTGAAGGACCCTAATAATTGGTTCGGGAATACTTCATGCACTTTCCACATAGTGGGGTGCGCCAAAAACTCTTGAGACTCATTGTGGAACGTCGGACGTCGAGGTGATACGGGTAATTTCGTATTCTGCCTCACTCATATGAAACTCACTCAGGTATTAATCCGAACAACTCCTCTAACACTCTCCATGGTAAATCTAAAGATGCATACCCCACATCTTACAACCCAAAATCAAGCCGCTCAAGATGGTCTAACGATCGAACCGCTCTCGTTGTATACGGTCAAGTAAGGAGCTGGTACTGGAGCCCCCCCCAGAGGTAGAGAGTACTCCATTGGGGCCAATTTGCGCTTTATATAGTTGCATGCGTCCAGTGAGTACCGTCTCGCCTTGCTGAGCACACCAAGCTTTTTGGAGGCTAATTTAGCCTTTCCTCCAAGTGACCGCGAAACTAACGTCCTCGATATGTCAACCCAAGTATTCCAATGCTGGCTGTGGCTTTAAGAAGAGTGTTTTCGAAAAGAGGAGTAGCGACAAAGGGTGTTTTTTAGCGGAAAACGCGCAAACTTGTGTCTTCTTGGGGTTAAATTGGACTAGGTTTTGTCTGCCCCAATCTAGACTCCACAAGTAGGTTCAACTTCAACACAATTTGTTCCGTACTCTCACCTCCAGAAATACCTCCCGCCATTTTCCCCATACTTCATCCCAAGCATATTTTGTTCCTTCATGATATGCGAAGAATGGCGGGATGCACAGCCTTTGGGACCCCACGTTTACGGGTTTTAGGAACATGCCATGACACCTATGCTCCATCGCCAAAAGCTAGATCCAATTCGTATTTCTCGGGAAGCCCATAGGCTGAACTTCAGACATCTCTTCCACACCCATCGAAGGCTTTCCTATTCCAAACTACCCTACCCTCCCCTTACTCATTGCCTCTCCCATCTATGTGTAAGGTATACAAGGAGGTCACCACCGAGCACCCACGAACCTCTAATCGCTAATCAGCTGTGGCCCTCAATCCTCAAACTCTTTAATAATGGTTTCCATTATTTTGGAGAACAAGGTTATAGCTATTGGGCGATAGTTGGACGGATCAGCGATCGCCTTTTTTAGATCGGATGTATCAAAGCGTCTTCCACACTTCGGACTCCACGTACTACCGGAAAAGGCCTTCCGCCACTCGGACACATCCCACTTGGGGGATCCATCCGGCCCGCTCGACTTATGAATGTCCAAGGAAGATATGCTTTCGGACACACGTTGCCAATTATTTCCGGCTCGAAGAATCACACCGCGAAATGGTCGTTATCTCCCTCGTCATCCAAATCGAGTGACCAGACAGCCCTCGCCTTCTCCTTCCATTCCAAGAGTCATCCTCCCTTCAGTGGCGGAATGGCCTACAAATTCCCTTACACTTGCAAGACCAAAGCTCATCCCTATGGAGTAGGGCCATCTCTCCCAAATCTGGCATGTGCTCTGACTTTGCCTTAGTGATTTCCCGTTTGAAGGACCTGAGGCTGAGTTATATGCTTTTTTAGTTCGCTTATTGCATCACAGATTTCGCCGCTTCCCCCATCCTTAAAGCATTCTCGCTTTCACCAGCCCCTTCAGACTTTAAACCAGGCTAGACTTCCCCATCGGCACCCCAAAAATGGAATAAGAGTTCCATCCCTCAACCCTTCGCGACAGAGGCGCGACGGAATCTGAGCTTCCGCAAACCATGGCCCCCAGTGGACCAAAGAAGACCGCATCCCGTCCCAATCTGCTGACTTATAGTCCAAATACGGCACAACCCATACCCTGCCTAGTCCTCTCCACCCACAATGATCTGATGAACCCAATGGCGGTCAACAGACTTGATAGTTCTCCGATGAGAAGTCAGCAGGGTCCAACAGAGGGTTTATACCATCCACATCTGGTATTCGCGTAATCGCAGGACCATTTGTGTCAGGTCGTAGGCTAAAGCAAATCTGAAAGGATCTTCCCCTGATCGGTGGTTTCAACCAGCCAATCGGCATGGTGGGCGTTAAAATCCCAATATCACGATTTCAGCGTAGGAACCCTTTCGAGCAGGGAATCTGTACCATTTGATGTGCTCAATGAGTCGGTCGTTTCGGTATTTCCGCTATGGGACCTATACAGCATCTAGAATCCATGTCATCCAGTCTACCCAGCCAGAGGTTAGATAGGTCCCTTCCTTCAACGTCCCGAGGCGACGAGAACAGATATCCTCTCTACGTACACGCAAACTCCAGCCCGCGGCACAAATGAATGTTCCAATTTGTACCCCGGGTAGGATAGGTGGGAAGTATCAGCCGGGGAGGATATCTGAGTCTCGGTAAGAAAGAGCAAGGCCGGCTTCGCAGTCTCTAGATGATAGTGGACAGCGTTGATGTTAGAATTAAGCCCCTAACATTTGTGAAGTCCACGGCGAGTGTGGACGGGGTGCCTTTGTATAATTGCTCCGTTTGCCCCGAGGACGATTACTATTTTTGTAGAGCGCAAATTGCCCCCCAGAATACGAAGGGCAGCCTGTCTCCACCACCGGGTGCTGAGTGTCCCGGTGGTGGACGCCCAGAGGGGGATTCTCCACCGCGAGCCTTGGTACCCCCTGGGTAGATTCTGTTTTTTCTGCACCTTCATATTTCTTGTGTGGGGGGATGGCTCCATCTCTCACCCACGAAACGCGAGTACAAGAAGGCGAACCTTTTCATCACTTCACGCCGGTTTTCTGAGAGACAGTGGTACTGCCCCGGCGTGCCTGCCCATTTGGCTGAAGCCCGAAGGCAACAGCATGGCACTCCCACTAGGAAGGGGTGACTGATTGCGCTGATGAAATAACCTCTGTCACAGGTTATTTCACCAGTGGGCGATGGGGTCGTCACGTCCCGACGCCTAAAAATTCGAATTGTTATTACATACATACTAATGTTGATTCGAAAATGTTAGGAAGCTCTTAAGTTACGGGGTGTTAGACCATTTTACTTGACTTCAGGAAATGAAACTCGGTAGGCCGCGCAGACGGCTCGAATTTATAACCGACACGCCCATGTATTGTGAAGCTTTTTAACGAGGCATTCTCATAATTAATCCACTTTGAAACACAGAAATGCAAATTAGGGTTGTAAATTATATTTATCTACTAAAAATGCTTTCCCTGTACTGTCTAGCTATAAACCCTTAAGTGATTTCGAATCCACCATCACGCACAATCAGTATAGTCTTTGATTATATGTATATAGTATACCGCTAAATGGAGAAAAAAGAAAAGAATGTGATCTAACTTATACGTATACTAATAAATATTTTAGAAACGAAATTTAATTTTTTTGACGGCTCATTGGTCTAGTGGTTATTACCCCTGACTGCGGATCCATGTGTCCCGGGTTCGATCCCCGGCTGAGACAAACATCGATGTGATAAGCATTTGGTGTTGTGCTTAGGTCTTGGGTGTTTAAATATGTATTTATATGTCTATCTATCTATAATATGTATGTATATCCGTTGCCTTGTACCCATAACACAAGCTTCACCAGCTTAGCATGGGACTAGGTCAATTGGTGTGAATTGTCCAATAAAAAATTAAAATTTAATTTTATAGGACGGCCCTGACTTTCTTTACGTAGAATATGATCGGACTTCAAATAACTATGACCAAAATTCTATTTTACATTTTTTAAACTATATCTATCTGTGTAAAATTTACCCTAAAACTAGGCTGGTCGATTCCTAAAGCAGTTAATAAGCCGCACCTAAATTCGCCGATAGCTGACTTATTTGTGGGTATAGTTTTACGAGCGTATTAGACCGCTCGGAATAGGTCCACTTTTATTACTCAACGCATAAAGATGATGGAATTCGTCCCAAATATATTCACGACCACTGTTTCTGGTAAATTGAAAAGGTTTGGTCAATATGTTTTTATCGTTTTTATAATATTTATTATGCTATATGAATAATGAATGTTACTTTAAGGATGTGATATGTTTAATTAAGGCCAAGAAATATTTTTCTCTATCGGAGATGAAGCAGTATTTTTTTTGGCGCAAGAATTACTTATCTAAATAAAATTATCCGGTGACCTCGGTTGTACCGTCTAATAATTTTAAAATTAAAACAAAAACTCAAACATATTTTTTATTGTTATGCTTATATTCACCTCTAGTAACATTTATATTTTGAGTTACAAATATTTCATTCGTTTATTTTTTTGAGTTTCAAAACGCGTGATGCACTGTGAAACAAAATTAAATCTTATCTACCTATAATAAAATCACCATAGACTATGATTTTTCCTTTTAAGTACACTGATGATATTTATGATACTTTCCATAGCAGCACTACCGAGAACTTACACAGTGCAGATTGCTGTGTGAAATAACAAATAAACAAAATTCAGTAATATAGTGTATAGTTTAATCGCTAACATAAACACGGCTAGGTATTCAGTCCATAACCTAGTTTTATTTATAATGTACAGAGCTACACATACGGCACTAACGTCACCATCCTATAAGGGTTCTCGGTTTGATTCCTGTCGAAAAAAATGGTGCGTGTACTTATGTACGCACGTAAGAAGTTATACTTCTTTGCCTTTCTTTATTTTTTTAAAATAATAAATAATTAATAATAAAAATTTAGCGTTAATAATTTAACAATATTTAATATTAAGTATATTATTCCATTATTAATTAATATTAATTATAATTATTATTTATTATATTATTAATTCAATTTTATAACTAGGTATGTTTCATAACCTTTTAACTAAGTAACAATAGGTCTTTGTGAAAAAGCATTGCTAAATTTCTTTGAAAAAATAATTAAAACTCCTTTATTTGTTTAAAAGGTACTACAATTAATGTCATTATGGTCATTCAAAATTCTTGGCATTGCTGCTAACGTCACTCATATTCTATTTCTTTTTACTTGTAGATTGTCTTATTCCCATCTCGCTCGCGCACGCACGGCGCCCATACTGATAATTTTGTGTCACGGTGCGTGCGCATCGTAAAATTTCCCTCTCATAAATTTTTCATAACGCGCCTAAATAAGTATAACTTCAAAAAAAATCTTTTAGGTTACATGACGCAGGTGTCATATAAATCAAGGACAAAAACGATTGATCGTGTGAGTTTTAAACAATATTTGAATGAAAATAATTGTTCTGGAAAGATTAGCTTGTCGTTGTGAGTTTGTTTGTATTGGCAGAACGGATGAATGGAAAATCCATGCGGTGGCGATGCGAATGACAAGATGGATGTGTTACGTGACATAAATCAATAGTTTTATACTTACCTTTACTGCAAATTGTTGCCTAAGCTAATAAATAGGTAAGAAAGGGGGATGAAAATGTAATACAAACGCGTTTGATTGTGATAGGAGAAACGAACGTAATATCATGACGCATGTCGCGAGTCAATGTGTGTTGGACTAAAGATGCTGATGGGCAATCTCAATCAAACCGAATTTAGACTTTCGTTATAATTTCTTGAACACAGAATTTATAACGAAAGGAAAATTTATATTAATTTATAAGGAAATATTTTAGTAAAAGTTAGAATATATACCTAGTCCATCCATAAGTTCTGTGACAAATGAAAATGCAGTTTTTTGTAATGAAGTAATGAAATACTATTAAAATTTATACCTACATATTTATTCCATACTCGTACATATATATAAATATATATACATACCCCATTCCATATTGTAATTTGATAATGAACACGAAAAGATATGTGAAATGGCGCAAAATCGAAAGTAGTTTTTAAAATAATATTCGTGTT